AATGAGCACAGGTCACTAAAAAAAAACTAGAACAAATCCAGAATCCTCATCTAGAATCCGCTTTCAGTTTTTCAGCATCATCATTTTTTCAGCCTACCATCCAAAACTGCAATGAATTAATTCTTCAGATAGCTGGGATATATAAAGCTCAAAAGTTTTCTTACAGCATTTTAGCAACAATTTGATCCTTAATCTTACCAAACTTACTTTAGACTTTAAAAGTAGCAATAAAATACATTTCTGCCTTTCTCTTTGGGTTTTGTTGCTTTCCTCTTATTAAGAAAAGTAATTGTTGACTGTCTTGTACTATCCTGTGATCCGAGCTCAGTCAGGCTGATTAGCAGTGACAGCATGTCAGAGGTCATTACCATTAAGCACACCTCAGTGAACAATTCAATGGAGTTGTTATTCCACCAGTGGTAGCCCTCACAAGTAGGCTTAAGAATCCCAGGAAATGAACTCCAGATCACTCTGGGCTAACCTGCATGCCTGAGCACCCTCTGCTGCTCAGCACTAGCTGGAACCAGCAGTTCCACACAGTCCCCTGAGTCCCGGGGGATCATGATGCACACCCAGGGCAGTGGTGCCGCTGGAAGGAGCAACACCTGAGCATCCTTAGCCCACAGTTGTGGTTCATCTTGGAGAATTTGGAAACAAGCAGGTGCTTGGTATTTTCAGCTTGGAGATTATGGCTTTAGATTAGCACATTGCCAAAGGCAGCATGTTTTTGTGTGTGTTCTACATATAAATATACACATTTGTAAGTGTATACATGTGAGTGTGTCAGTACGTGTTTCAATATATACACAGATATCCATATATAGGTATATGGATATACACATTCATATATGTGCATATATCTATAATGTACACACCAATATCCATATTTTATATCTATGCACATAGATTTTCTTGACCATTCCTTTTCATAAACAGGCTTTAAGCCTGCCCTCCCTTTTTCACTCTCTTACTCATATTGGCAAGAAATGTGTGTGTCCATTATGTCTGTACAGAGAGGGAAGGAAGAAAGTGCATGTGTGTACATATATAAGTACATATCTTATACGCAGTTTCAGCTGGCTGTAATCCACAGGTCATCACTCCATACTGAAGCCCTTCTCTACCAGCAGGTCCCCATTCACGTGTCCTGCATAAATGCTAGAGCCATCCACTGCAACACGACTAGGTTAGCAGCATTTGGTTCCTCTCCCCATAAATAGATGCTAAATTCCTTGCAGTTTGGTGGAACAACCCTGAAGGTACTATATGGACTGCTTGCAGCTGCTCACTTTCTAACAAATATCTGAATGAAGCCTCCTCCTCTGTCAAGGCTTTCAGTAAGTGCAGTTCTGTGGAGTGCTGGTAATTTATCATAAGCCATAGCTTCAGAGTCGGGATATCTGTTGTCCTACAACAAACAAGCACAGCCTGATTTGGCTTTCTTTCACCCAGGTAAAACTGCAAGACTTCCTTCAGAATGCTCCTGCCTAGATTGGCAGCAAGCATAACCCTTTTTTTACATATCCATGTGATGCTTTAAGTGCTCCACCCAAATCCCCTGTCTCTCCTTTACAATCCCAAAAGCAGCCCTGGGAGAAGCAGCACCTCCTGTTCAAAGAAAGAGCATCACACGGTGTCTCAAGTGGAACAAAAACAGCTGCAAGATGGAAGACTGAATGAAAGCACCCAAGCAAGGATTGCAGCATATGCTACAACAGCACATAAAACACCTTAAAAAAAAATAACCCTGTCTAGTTCCATACTACAAACTTACTCTCTGCTTATTAAAAATGTTCCAGTGAGAAAAATAAAATTACTTTAAAATTATGATGGGACTGAATTTCAGACAATGGAGAAATTCAGTCAAGTAATCACTGAGGTAATCTATTTATTCATCTTGGAAAAATCCTGATCAGGAGAAAGTGCATTAAGACACGGGGATTCAGCTGCCACCCTTCTCACTGAATAGACAATCAGAACATGCCCCTTTGAACCTTGCATTAATAAAATTCTCATTAAATGCAAACCTGCACAATGTTATCTTGAAGAGGCTCATTAGCTTAATAAAAAATAACTTGTCTCAAAATGTGTTTATTTCCTCATAGGTGAGAAGGTGAGTTTTCAAACCACCAACTGCTGCAGCTTCCTATTTCAACCCCACCAGTGCTGCATGCAGCTATATCCTGCAGTCTATCACATCTCAATTATCAATGAAAACCCCAGAGACATATCCACAGACAGAAGTTATAATGACTATTATGAGATAGGACAGCAATTGAAATCACTCATTCCAGTGTGGTATGTAAGATTTTCAGACAGATAAGGCTATTATTATTCTGTCTTCTTCAAATTTTCATTTTCTTTAGGTTAGACAGAAATTATGAATTATCTGTAAAAAAAAGAGAAGGCAGGAATAGCCTCCCCATCTCTCAATACCGAAAAAGAATATTCGTGACTGCTCTTTTCACTGGAGAAATCAAAGAACACAAGGACAAGAAAAATCAAATAATCAGCAACAACAAAACTATCTAGTGGAGAATAAGGTCCAAGTAAAGAGTAGTGTTCATACCATAATAGGATACACAAAGTGAGATCTCTCTCTGTGGCTGAGTTTAAACAAGAACATGTCAAAGATTCTCTAAGTATTACTCATCCTGACTCTCTATTACAGCATTTCATCAGCTGAGCTCACCAGTTCAGCACTGTGGGTGCAAGCAGGACTGTTTTATGTGTCTCCTCAACAGTTACTCTTGTAACACAAATGCAGTGCAGCCACACACCACTCCTCTCCTGGCAGAAATACACATAAAATTGTACACTAAGATTTAAAGCACTTGTTAAAGCCCACCACATGCATGCACAGGCAGATGCTTTTACATTTATGAAACCCACTAAAAGCCTTAAGATAAGGAAATGACAATGTTTATTTATTTTTAAATAGCTTGTATAATGAGATGAAGATATAAACCAAAACAGGACTTTGCACTGTAGAGTTACAGCAAAAAGCAGGTAATCATTGCTCATAAAAACTTTCCAGAATGATGGAGCAAGGTGAGGGAAAAATCCAATGTGAAATGGATTTCTCTAAATTCATTCTCTTCATGGCAAAGGTATCCAAATAAGACACAGTATTCTAAGACCACTCTAGGGGAAACCAAAGGAGTATAAATGAACAAACATAACAAGGAGCTAAACCAGGTCCTAGTCCCAGTCACCATTTTGAAACATCACACTTTAAATCACCTTCACAAAAGAACAGTACCTTTGGATTTTTCTGGCTGCTCTGAAATCTATTCAGTTGAAGAATCCTTCAAATGTAGTATTTTTACCATCAGGAGAAAAGAAACCGAAGACAAAATTCTTCCCCGCTCCCTTTTTTTTTTTTTTTTGAGAAAGCAAGGAAATGGGATAAATCAAAGAGACTGACTTCTCAGAATCCTAATCCCTCCCTAGGCCTTGAATCATCTCTAATTTAGACCTTTTCAAATTTCAGTGAATGAAAAGCAGTCATTCACAAAACTTCAACCCAGATGAGCAGTTGGGTGGAGCAAGGGAAATCTACCAGAAGTCCATCAGAAAAACATGTTAGAGACTTCACTGGTTCCAGACAGAACTGTGACCTGGACATGTCTGATACAGGCTGTCCAGGGAAGGGTCTCACAGTGACAGTTTTTTTGTTGTTTCTTGTCTCAGTTGCAACTTCATAAAGGCAGTTGTTAAGCCAAAAGGAAATAAGCCCACACAAAATTTTAGTTTCACAAACCAGAGGTGAGCACAAACCCTCAGTGATCACTTATTGTTTTAATCTCTTCCCAGTGTAGACTTCTCTCCCTGGGTATACAGAGAATTCACAGGGCAGACATTTTGTGTCACATTAAGTGACATTATTTTGCCAACATCTACCTGTTCTGCTGCTTCACTTCAAGTGCATTATCTACCCACAGGAGTTCATTTACATCTGGTTTAAAAAAAAAAAAAAAAACAACAAAAAACCCACAAAAATAAGGATAGTACTAAAATAAATCTGGAATCATACATGATTGTCACCAAGCTTACAGACTTACTAAGGGAACCTCTAAGGTGGTTTACAGACATGTAAGATGTACACTGATTTCAAAGATGCCCTCAGAGAGTTTGTCCTACACAATGTCTTTTGTAGTGAGGGAAATGACAAGCACTAGCAATGCAGCAGTACTGAGCTACTTGGTGTTGCAGACACCGAGTGTCTGGGGTGACCAGGGAAGGGATGGACAGATATTTTTTCAGTATAAATACTTACACCTTTTATGGTTTGTTTACAGGCCAGAGCTAAGCTGTAAATATTCTCTCTCAACATCTGCTCTTAATCAGTCAGATCCATCATGATCCTCTTGCTCAGCACCCAGCTTGGTCAGTACTAGTTGCTTCAGGTGCCAGCAAAATAAATTCTTGCCATCGTGAAAGAGCACACACCTAGATTTACACTCTTTAGCCTTACAAGTAAAGCATAACTTCTGCCCTTGAACAGGAAGAAGAGGTTTAAGAGAACACTGAAATGTCCTTAAATAATCAGTTTTAAACACACACAAAATCCTGCAATGTTAACAGACCTCACATCTGCTTATTAGTGCTGGCTTATAGTCCCCTCCATAGCTTCCCAGAATTGCAATAGAATCACGCAACAGAAATCCATCAGGTCCACAACTGCTCTTCCAGCACAGCATTGTTCCCTACTGTACGATTCCTCGCAAGAATGCTGTGAGGATTAATTCATTACAGTTTGTGCCATGCTTTGAAAGCACTCAGTCAACAGAAGAGCCGAGAGAATTATTAGAGAGAGGACAATCAAACCCTGGTGATCCTCTCTTTATCCCAGTAGTCCCTTTTTAGAGCAACAGTTTAGCCCAACAAAGAGAACAAATTCAGCCCCAAATTTATTAAAACAAATGTGAAAGAATCATGATAAAAATGTAGTTGCACAGGACACAATCTTCAAAATGGTTACTAATTGTACTCCTTACCTAATATTCACTAATGCATGGGTCACCTTGCTTGCAGGCTCTTTCCACTGACCAGCATTGGTAGACAGCCTTAGAACTGAAAGGAGAAGACAGTTAACAGTGCTAGCACAGAACTGGAAATTTTCTAATTTTAAACAGAAAAAAAAAAATCTGCTTTGGCAAGATGGAAGTCCAGGAATCACATCAAAACAAAGGTCTTCTTCCAGACAACCTGTGATCCAGGGCAGATATTCCCTTCAAAGCCCATGTAAGAAACATAAGGAACATGGAAGTGGTGAATAGAAAAAAATAATGACTCTGAGACAGGAAGCAGAGGGGATAGAAGAACCCAGGTCTTGCTTTCATCACCACATATACCATTAATTTCCCCCAGACACAGGTCAGTGACCCACATCTAGAATAACTAGTATTCCACATTCTGTTGTCCTCCAGCTCCCATTTATGCAAGATTCCATCTGAGCTGGACTACATCCTGCAGATTAAACTCTCTCCAGCAATAATGGATTCTTTACATCTCCATTTATCCAGAATTGTAGAGAGGAATTACACACTAGACTAGGAAAAAACACTCCCTGTAGGAACAAGGGTGCTGTTCTATTGCACAGATGGTCTCTGACAGATTTAAGAGCAGATCTGAAAACATTCTGCAACAGGAAGAACTTCTAGGGAATCCAATCCTTTTCCACCAGAGTACCAAAAATATTTATTTAGGTCAAAACACGTGGTGTTTCTATGGTGGTAGTTACCTGCACATCTCTTGGTATGCATCAAAACAATAATAGATCTTGCAGCAGATTAATTTCCATATCGCCTGAATAAAAGGGAATTTTCTATGAAGTTGTACATAAGGGTTTTCAGGAAATTAGATCCCACAAGAAGGGATCACCGTCAACTTAGAGGTGAAGGAACAGCTCATCATCTGAATTTAGGATCATCTAGAAACATGGATGCTACAAGTGAATCCATAAGCACAGTGGCTGCGTACTCATGCCTATAATTGTAGTACAGAAGCTTCCAGTCCCGAAGATCTGGATAACATTCAGTTTCAAAACAAGAAACAAAAACTCCAAGTCAATCAGACTCCACCTCCACTCCCAAAATAGAAAGTTTCAACCACATTAACAGAAAACTAAAGGACAGAGTAGCTTCCTCATCTGTGCTCACAAATGCCCCAAGGTCAGGGTCACTGTAGTCCCAGAGATGGGCTGACAAGCAAAAGGAAGCTCTCAGAACACCTGATGGCTTTCATCAGCTTGAGACAGTGCTACCTTCTCACTTCTTAGTCTACCATTACACGTCATCTGCAGAAAAAAGATGTCAGCTCTGCATAACATTATTTTGTCAAACAGTAGGTACTGTATTTGAACATCTGAAGTAATGTATTCAGAGAGGGTTTTCATTCAGGTATCTCCAACAGTAATTCAAAGGGGTTTGCTCTAGGTAGCAAGATGGAAAACATTCATGTGACAAATTGTTTCAACGGGTTAGGTGTGCCTTTTGCAACCCAGCTGAGGAAGTATTTGAGTGTGTTATACTATTCCACTTGCCTTCAGCTTCCACAGGGGATGGGTTTGAAAAAATCTTAACAGCTAAAATTCTTGGGAGTAAGAAATGGGTTAGTAAAAAATCTTGTGCACTTAGAGGGCACAAAAATGGGCAAGTGATCTCTTATGTAATGATGTAATGGCTGATAACTGTAGGAAATTTATACAAAAGAGCAGTTACTTTTTGCTTGCAGTTACAGGGGGTATTCAGCTACTTTTATATGGGTGAGGAATGGTTCTCCCCCATGTCAGAAGAGTGCTGTGGCCAACTGTCTGTCCTTTAACTCCCCTTATTTGCTTATATTAATTCTCATTGTTCATTGATTGATTGCATTGAGAAGGAAGTACGGGGTGAATGGAAGAAAGGTCCTTCTAGAATAAAACAAACAAAGAACACAGCTATATTCCTTTTCTTCATAGCTTCAAGTATGCAGAAACTACACCAATGCTGCTGCAGCTACCCTGGGCTGCAGGCTCCTGTGTATGCACTGCCTGATTATGCCTCCATGCATTCCTTGCTCTTCTTTGTTCCTCTTTTCCCTGCTGGGTGTCACTTGGTAGCATTCCAGTATGTCTCTCTCTTTTGAAGGGTGGCAGCTCCTCCCTGTTTTGCCAGTGGGCACATTCTTCAGTCCACTGATTCACTTGTCACTGCAAGCAGCTTTGTGAGGGCTGTTTTCTTGGTTCTTTTGGCAATGAGTGCAGTAGATGTGATTCGCCTAGCACAGCAAGCTTTTTGCTATAAGTTTCTCAAATTCTCTTCCAAATTCTTATTTGCATTGAGTGTTTCTCTGTACTGGCTGGTTTGGTAGCATGTACATGCCTTTTGACTTGAAACTGTTGAATATAGTAGAGGCAAACTACATGAAAATGCATGACATACCACATACTCTCTTTTGCCAACAAATTTATATTTCCAACCACGGTCGGTGACTGATACAGAGGCAAGGAAGGTAAGGACTCTGTTCCTATTTTGTTCTGACTTAAAAAAAAAATTATCCCTTTAACAAGTTTATCCTTCTCTCAATTCCTCAATTCTTAATTTACCAAACATATCCTAGTACACAAAACCTGTCCAGTCAGCAAGGCGCACATCAGAAGCAGGTGGACTGAAAACACCTGACACAAACATCCCTCCTCCACCACCCTCAGTTCCAGTCAGCAGCAGTCCTGACGAGTCAGGAGGTACTCACCCATGGAATAAAGGTTGTCAAAATTCTGATGCATCCGAATGATTTCATAATACAGCTCATCATAGCTGCTGGGAGTGGGGAGGAAGGTGTCTCCGTAAGTGATGAACATGTTGAACAGGTTCACAACCTATATAAGTGAAAAGAAGTTACAAGAATATTTAGCCCAAATCTATTCTGCAACAGAAACAATACAAACTATGTCCCAAACCTTCAAAGAAATAGCTCACAATTGCAGCAGACAGTATTACACTACTTGATTGCTTTATCTATTATTTTCCTTATAGTAGAGACAGACAAGAACCTTAAATACTATTTTATCTGAGGCTAGAAAAGCATGTTTCTATTTTGCATGCAGAGGGACACAGAAGAAGAAACAATATTGACAAATCTGGAAAATTAAATAAGGCCTTTCCTCAAACAGACTTCTTTATTTCAATGAGCAGACCCTACAGTGAGTCCAAGCACTGCCCTTTCCAAACAGCTAGTGAAACCAAACACAGTGATATCCCTCTGCTTTGTGGCCTTCTTCTCATATCTCCTTAACAGACCAGAAATCCTTTCTGGAATCCTTTCAGGATTACAATTCTTTCTTAAGATTCATTCACTATTAAGTTGTTAAAAATAAGAGGATTTGTGTGTACTCACCATAAGAGCAAGAGTGAAGATGTTGTGCTTGGCCAGCAACACAGTCTCATTAGACATGAGGAACTTTAACAAGTTGATCAAAGCTAGGAGAAAATAAGTATTTTTAAAATAATATAAAAAACAAAGCCATTTTCTACAAGTCACTTAAATACAGATGCATTTACATTATCAGGTGTAAGCTAGCCTAAATGCCAGCTGCAGAAATTATTCTCAGAATTTATCAGAAATTATCAATTTACATGTAGGGGTTGGCAGTGGGTTTTGTGGCTAAAATACGCTGCTGGACAGCTAAGTGACAGCTATTTTATCACCCCACTTTTATTCTATTTCACTGACTTCCCAATCAAATCTTCTCAGGCTCAAGCTAAGTCTCTTGTTAGCTTAGTTCATGGAGCTTTTTCTATCTGCTAGATCCTGGAGTGAGTTTTCAGGCTGGAGAATCAGACTGTCTCGCTTCTGTTTCGTGTATCACCAACATGATGTATGCATAGTCAGCCCCAAACTGTCACTCTTGTTGATACACAGAGTTTTTAAAAAAAGTAACAAAAACCCCACAGCACAGCTTTTCTGTAGCTCTGTGTCAATGCTGCTGCACTGGTAAAAGGAAGAATGTAGTACTTTATTGTGTCAGTTATCTGGGGCTGGGCGGTAAAGACTACAGATCTGGTTCACACTCGTCTTAAATTATGAAACAACAAAAGTCCCTGCTGTAACCACCCAACAGCAGTTAGTAAGAGTGATAATTAACAAAGAGGTTCACTAAAAATGCTTTAATCAAACCGACTTCACAATAAACAATTGCATTCCATGTGCTTGAATAAAGTTCTTTATCTTGTTTTTTCTAGCTGAAATTTTTTGAAGAGAAAACTATTTTCTTCTGCATTATAGCTGCTCAGGACTGAAAGCTGATGCTTGCCTAGAGCAGGTTTTTAATGTACTCTCTACTCTGAAGTCAAGAGATTTCAAGACTTAAAACCTCTGACTTTAGATGTCCTGCAAAGTCAAGATGGAGTGTTATACACACTTCTTAAAAAAGTTCTTTATTATCTACTAATTGGTAGCTGCATCTAGCAGAACACCACCAGGCATTAGTCCAACTTTTTATAGGCATGAGTAGAATTTGTTAATCTCTTTTTCCCCTCACCATTACACAAGTGCCACAAGCTACCCAGTTCTGGTTTGGGAAAACTCCACAGCAAATGCAGAACAAACCATTCCTTTCAGCCCAAAGGTACAGGCTGTGTAAGAGAAGAAGAACATACACAGGAAACAGGAATGAGGTAAGGACAAAATTTAGATACCCATCCCCTTCAAGATTAGAAAGTATTCACAAAAGGTAAAACCAAAAAAACAACAGTATAAAGATAGATGTGAAGAGAGTGGTCAGATCTTGAATTAAACAAAATTGTCAGATTCTGAATGCAGTCCTGCAACCTCTATTTTCCAATATTAGAAGTTTACCACGAGTATCAAAAGTTTATATACGCCCCCCCAAAACAGAAGCCTACATCTCCAGGGTGGGTATTTACTCATCACAGACAGAAGCTATTTCAGTTTAATCTACCAATGGGTGGCCGATGCTGAACTGCAAACCAGAGTGAACAAAGTTCTCTGCAAACTCCAGACATGCAAATGATTTATCTTTCAGAGCTATTCCAGGATTTAACCACCAGCAATAACATCTCTCCCTTCCGTGACAGCGGCCCACCTCATGAAGCAGATATATTAACACTCATTCAATTCAGCCACAGAACTCCCCATACCATTATCACCCCATCATCAGACAAACTTCTGAGACCAAAAGCAGAAACCAGATTCCACAATAAACCATCTCTGGAAATAACTCCTGTCAGTTATTTTTCAGTAAAACAGCTTTTTCAAAACAAAGAAGTAGCAGGTACAGATGGGCTCTCCACCAGAGCAGAGATCCAGCTAAAAACAGGTTGCCAAGGTAACCAAGCCTCCACAGCAAAAAAGTAGAGTCTCCTGCAGTCAGTGCCTTGGACTGCAGACAGCTGCCCTGCATCTCTGTCACAGCAGCTCATCGGCCATCTCCCCATTTCATAGTTACAGGCACGACTTTACTCTTTCCTGTCCATACAGCCACAGCTTGTGACCAGGTGGTGCTGTTTAACAAACAGCACCTTGGGCTTCTGGAAGCAAAGTAGCAGAGCTCTGGATTTCCTGTAACAAGTGGTGTGAAGTCTTTTGTTCGCTTCTTTGCCTCTTGCTCTCCCAACAGAGCCCTGCTGAACAGCCTTTGTAGCAGGTGATTGCACAGCATGACGAGAAGCCACTGAACATCCAAACACAGTGAACATGAAAGACACCCCTGATAGACACTGTTTTTAAAAGAACAAGTGTATTTGTCTAGAGCACAAGCACTCACCAAACAACAAGCACCCTACAATTACCTATTGCAGTATTTCTGAAGAACCTGCACTGCTCTATATTGGTGACAACACTCGAAGGAGAACTTGCTCTGTTCTACCCCAACACCAGCTCCTACGTTGCTCCCAGCTGTTGTGAAGAATTTGCTTATGTTTCATTTTCCTGTTCCAGTTAGAAAGAAGGCAAGAGATTACCACTGCTTGAAATAAATCTTTATACCTGAACTGCACTGCATCACAGCTCACTACTCACAGCTCATCTGCGCTGGTCCTTCCCCAAGAACTAGGAAGGAGAGGGTTGTGCTTCACATGAAGAGGAAACAGTGCTGCACTCAGAGCCTGGCAAGAAGAACTAACCCACCAGGTTTACAGGCACTGTGTGCACTGTACAGATAAATTTATCCAACTGTTTGGAAACCACACATTCCTAAAAAAGTTGCAGTGTTCCTAAGTAGGATATGCTCTACATCGATACTAAAAGAGCAACCAATCTTTTTCCACACCAGCACATTCTGCAGCAGCCTGTGCTCAAGTGGCTCTAAGGAACAGGATCACTGTGGAACATGAACCCTTAAATCTCTTTCCTGTGTCTCTGTAGTTTGCTTGTAAGGCAGACTGTACTGAAAATGAGGACAGCTATGCCCTGGAGTTTTCAGGATTAACAACTTTTAGATTCAGCTTCATGTGCCCAATGTATTTCAGCAACAATTACACACACAAAATAAACTTTTAGAGGAAATGTCCAACTGGTTGAACACCCCTCTGCCCTTTAGCTCCAACAGGGCACTGATGCTACTATTCCTGAACAACCTGAAGCTAAAACAGATGTGCCACTTTTTCCCTGCTGCAATCAACTGTTTGCCTCTCATAGCCCATCTGCAGGCTGCCCTCTCACAGTAGCCAGGAAATTATCCTTTTTTTTTTTTTTCTTTCCACAACAGAGGAGCCATTCAGTCTCTCAGCTGCACAGCAGCTGACAGCACTGTGACCTTTGCTTGGGCCCAGCCACCTTAGCCCAAATTGTGCTCCAAGATTTAACAGTGATGGATAGTTTGGGCATGAGATCTATTTCAATATGAACTGGAAAAGAGCACCATTTTTATAACAGCCTCTAGAGCCTTTTCTTTCTTCCCCTTAAAGATACCTGTCTTTGGCATCCCTTGGCAGGACCCAATACATCCACTGTGGTGAGTCTTGAAACATCCATAATTTCACAACACAACACTGTCACTAGAACTTCTTTGGCAAGAAAAGCAGGAAGCTTTATGTAAACTAAAAAAGCAGCCACCAGTATTTTCATGCAAGCTCCTCAGTTTGAGCACACTGACTATGCTGCTTAAATCAATAAGAAGAGAACACAGATTTGAACACCTATATTTATAGCCTCAAAACCAAGTAGAAAAGCATGTTGAGTGGACACAGAGTCATATGATTGGCTGTATGCGAAAGTGGTGTAAAGCACAGGTTGTTTTTTAGGCAATTTTCTCTCCTAAGGATTATTATAGCCAAAGGATGAAAAGTGACATCACCAGCTTTTACAGATACTCTCCCTGCTTTTTAAATTGAAGTGACTGCAGAGAAAGAGGCTCTTAGCTCTTCCACTGCACAGCTGCTTTTGAAGACAGACATTTTCCCTTATCAGCTCTTGTGGCCGGTCTGTCTGCCAAGGAGCAGCAGTACTCCTGCTCAGTGATTTGCTGCCCTTCTTCAAGCAAATCCTCAGTGAGAAGACTGTGGGCAGCCAGAATCTCCTCTTCTACCAGAAAGGAAGTAATTCCTGGTATGGACAGATGCCCTTCACTCACTCCTTCCCCTATTCCTGTTCCCACACTAGACTTACCTTCTCTCCTTGTAAACCTTGTTTCAAACAGAAGTATATTCAGCCCCAGACAAATTGGCATTCATGCAAAGTTTTTGTTTAATTTAGTGTCTCAGTAATCACTCTATGGATCATGTGTAATGCAACAGGACCGTGGAGGTAGATTAAGAGAAAAAGAAAAAAAGAAGTAGTAGTACCATCCCTTAGGCAAGTCAGAATGTAGCACAGATTCTGCCAGGAGCATCAGAAGGCTCTGATGTGTTATTGCACAACGGAGCAGAAGAGAACAGCCCTGAGACACAACATCAGTGAGAGCTTGGGTGGGTTCAGCACAGTATGGAGGCCTCTGTCACTGCATCTGCTGCGCTTACAGGTCAAAATTCTTCTAATGGTGCATATAATGGCCCTCAACAAAGGAGCAAAGGAGAAAAAAGAGAGATGCGAGGATTCCTCAGCTGCAGTGTAACATCCATTAACAGGATCCTGTGCTCTACTAAAATCCTCAAGATTTCTACCCTTCAACTTTCAGGGCACACTGGGAAGAATAGTGATTTTCCCATTCTCTCTGGAAATTACCATTGTACCAGCAGTATATTCAGTGTCCTCCTTTATGTGTCTCAACACCTTTAGGAGGATCTCCACCCACATGTCACTAAAATAATGACATCTGGGCAATACTTCCATGTTGCAGAGAAATCATCTGCCTACGAGTGCCTCAGCAGCACAGTAACCACCCTGGACCTCCCATAGCCAGCCTTTTCACATATACATACCCTAAAGGTAAGGTCCATTCCACTCACTGTAGTACATGGTAAGCCAGATCTGCTACGGCTTAGCACAACAGACTGGAACTGAGAAGAAAGTGGATTCAGTT